ATCCGAAGAAGTGGGCTGTAGTCCACGAAAGCTTATGCTCTAATAAATTTGTTAGTCTCTAAGGTGCCACAAGTACTCCTGTTCTTTTTGCGGATACAGACTAACACGGCTGCTACTCTGAAACCTACAAGGAAATGGGAAAACTCTCCCTTCAGAATGTGATTTGGGTTATTGGTACCTGATGATGAAGTACCTGGCAATTCTTATCTCTGACTGTAAAATTGTATGGGATCATGGTAAAATGTATCTCATGAGAGTGTCCCATCTGCAGAGACTTACTGTTATGACTACACGGACAGTGTCTTTTTGGATATTTGATCCTGGTATTTCTGGAACTTCTAAATTCTAAAATTACATCTCATTAAAAAGAGGCAGTTTTTATATTTGTAAGTATTGGGTGCAATATTCTACATACTAATAGATCCCCAAATCAGCCACACTGCAGTTCACATAAAAACTAATTCCTCAATTTCCATGCCTGCACCTGTTTCCTTGACGCTAGCTTTCTTTTTGCACCTTAGTCCTTAATTTATTGAGCTCCTCTTCTAAACTTTTAATATGCTCCTTGAGTGCAGCTTTGTCTTGCTGTGCTTTTTGATTAGCTTGGCACTGGGCTTCTTCAATCTTCCGCTCATACCACTTTTCCATTTGAGTGGAAACAGCCTCAAAAAAGTACTGAGTAATCTCCAAAGCTTGTGAAGTGTCTTTGATCTGAGGGGCTGGTTGATCTCCAGGCAGAGCGGATGGTTGCTGTGGCTGGGTATGATGTGTTACTGTGTGTTGCTGGGGCCTGTGTCTTGACTGCCCACTTTTGCCAGACTTCTTTGTTTGAGTTCCTTTGTCTATGAAGTAGCCACTCTGTTGCTCAGTCTTTGCAAATTCAATCAAGGGGTGCAAAGCAGTTTGTACCTTAACATGTCTTAATTTGGAACCTGAATGCTCTGACAATGGTTCTTCCTGCTGGAACCTGTCGAAAGCAGTGGAGCTAAAAGCTTTGTCTTTACGCCTAACAACTTGAGGGACTGCAGAAGGAGCTGGACCAGCAGCTGTCATTTGTTGCTCTGCACCTATACATTAAAAAAAACATATGAGAATTCTGAGCAGACTTATGCAAATATTAAGAGAGAAACTCCCATTGTTCTGAGGATTGGGGGAGGCCAAGATTTCCTATATACCATGCTATACATTTTGTAGATGTTTATAATATATTGTCTTATATCTAGGGCTGTCAATCACAGTTAACTCATGCAATTAACTCAAAAAGATTAATCGCACTTAGAATACCAATTCAAATATATTAAATATTTTTGGATGTTTTTCTACATTTTCAATATTGATTTCAATTACAACATAGAATACAAAGTGCACACTGCTCACTTTATATTTTTTTATTACAAATATATGTACTGTAAAATGATAAAGAAAAGAAATAGTATTTTTCGATTCACCTCATAAAAGTACTGAAGTGCAATCTCTTTATTGTGAAAGTGTAACTTACAAATGGAGGGTTTTTTTGGTTACATAACTGCACTCAAAAACAAAACAGTGTAAAACTTTAGAGCCTACAAGTCCACTCAGTCCTACTTCTTATTCTGCCAATCGCTAAGACAAACAAGTTTGTTTACATTGATGGGAGATACTGCTGCCTGCTTCTTATTTACAGTGACACCTGAAAGTGAGAACAGGCGTTCGCAAGGCACTTTTGTAGCCAGCGTTGCAAGGTATTTATGTGCCAGATATGTTAAACATTCATATGCCCCTTCATGCTTTGGCCATCATTCCAGAGAACACGCTTCCATGCTGATGATGCTCTTTTAAAAAAATTTTTTTAAAAAAAGCGTAAATTAAATTTTGTGACTGTACTCCTTAGGGGGAGAATTGCATATCTCCTGCTCTGTTTTACCTGCATTCTGCATATATTTCATGTTATAGCAGTCTCGGATGATGTCCCAACACATGTTCTTTTTAAAAACACTTTCACAGCAGATTTGACAAAACACAAAGAAGGTACCAATGTGAGATTTCTAAAAAGAGCTACAGCACTCAACCCAAGGTTTAAGGATCTGAAGTGCCGTCCAAAATCTGAGAGGGATGAGGTGTGGAGCATGCTTTTAGGAATCTTAAAAGAGCAACACTCTGATCTGGAAACTACAGAGCCCAAACCATCAAAAAAGAAAATCAACCTTCTGCTGGAGGCATCTGACTCAGATGATGAAAATGAACACGTCAGTCCACACTGCTTTGGATCGTTATCAAGCAGAACCTCTGGCATCATCTCTGGCAAATTGTAACCAAGCTTGTTTGTCCGAGTGATTGGCTGATCAAGAAGTAGGACTGAGTGGACTTGTAGACTCTAAAGTTTTACATTGTTTTATTTTTGGATGCAGTTTTTTTGTACATAATTCTACATTTGTAAGTTCAACTTTCATGATAAAGAGATTGCACTACAGTACTTGTATGAGGTGAATTGAAAAATACCATTTTTTTGTTTTTTACAGCGCAAATATTTGTAATCAAAAATAAAATACCAAGTGAGCACTATACACTTTGTGTTCTGTGTTGTAATTGAAATTAATATATTTGAAAATGTAGTCAACATCCAAAAATATTTAAAATAAATGGCATGCTATTGTTTAACAGTGTGATTAAGCGCGGTTAATTTTTTTTAAATCGCTTGACAGTCCTACTTATATATCACTTCTTCCTATGGATAAATTCATAGGCTTGCGACTTAACACACACATTTGTTTGGAACAAAATGCAGTCTGCTTGCCCAAGAATGTAACTTGAGGCATGATCACAGGATGCCTTTTCTGGAGGCCAGCAAGATCAGACATCACAGAGATCAGGCTTTTGGTCCTTAGGTTAGTGTGTGCCAGTGCAACTACACTTAGCAAGCTGTTCATGCAGTAATATTAGAATCAGAAAACCATATGTTCTTCAAGAATGGAATGTACTCCTATGGTGATCATCAAGGGAGAAAAAAAGGAAGGATGAACAAAAAGTGTGTATGGAGTTGGGATAGATAAACTGTAAAAGAATAGCTTATACATATGGGAATAGGGTCCATGCACCAATAAAATAAATACAATATAGTTGATTCAATGGAAATTTGACAATTCAGTGCATTCTTACATGTAAGACCCTGGGTTGGGAGCAAACCCAGCCCTCCACTGTCCCTGAAAGTAGTAGAAACTACATCTATTTTCACCAGCTGAGGATTTGCCAAGAAAGATATAATAAGATGGCAGTGTCAAGAAAAGATAATGAGGTAAATCCCTGCCAACTAAGCCCTGAAACTTTGGTGGTTGCCTTGTTTTAACCAGAATGTATAGAGATGGGGGAAGAGAGGTATTGATGATGGGAAGGAAAGCATACCACTGAAGTTAAGTAATCTTGGCATTTTTATTCTCTGAAAGCTTCCCCTGTTAATCAGCACATGCCTTTGAATACTACAGCTAAATGTCTAACAAGATTATACCTGATGCAGTGTCTTGTTCAACAGCAAAATAATGCTTTCCAAAGCTTTGTTCTGATGTCTGGCCTCTACTCCTTCCCATGTCTTCTGAGAGACTATTCTGAAGTGTGATATAGGAATGCTGCTGTGAGTCCTCTGACTGTGGTGGGCTCTGGTTAGTTTTACAGTCCTTCGCACTATGGAGGTTCTCTGTATCCAGGGTCTCTGTGAGGGACTCACAAGTGGACAGAGTTGATTTTGGTCTTGAAGATCTAGAATCTCCAGAAAGCTTCATCTCCAGATTCTGAATCTTTAACATGCACCAGCTTTTCAATTCATCCACCAAAGAAATCTGTGAAAGAAAAAAAAATTTAGTTCCAAGTGGCCAGATTTTAAGTCAGTCTGTGTTACTCCAGGTACAATCTTCAGTCCATCAATGTAATGTGCCTGTGCCATAGTAAAGTTACTGTTTCAACAGCAGCCCTCACGGACAATCACTACACATCACAGTAAATGATAGTGGCATAAACAACATTTATACACTGATGTTACAGTTTTACAAGACAGTGGTTGGAGAAAAAAGTCTATATCAAACACTATTGGGTTTTTGGGGACAATGGTGCCACCTCTGATCTCGGTGTTTCTCTTGTTTTAGTGCTAGAAGAACAGATAACAGACTAATTTATAATCAACCACTGGTTTTCAGGTTACAAAAATGCTTAGTATTAGAAGGCATTTGCCGATAAACATTTAAAAAATTTAGTAAGAACTGAATTATATAGAAAGAAGAACACTCCCCATATACTTCTGTTTGCCTGTTATTTATATGGCACTGTGACAGTTTACTAAGGGTCTAATCCGAAATCTACTGAATTCAATGGGAGTCTTTCCACTGACTGAATCAGGCCCTAATAGAACAAGAATAAATATTATGCTTGTTAAGTATAATTCAGATTGCCTGTTATGGATCACTCAATCTCCTTTCTTTTGGAGTATTAGAAGATTGAGGCTTCTTCAGTCTCCATGGAGAAGACTCAGAGACCAGCAAGTAGAGAAGACAATTTGATACACATGCCTCTTGCTATAAAGCTTGGGGCAGCTCTAATTGTTATTTCTGCCTCAGAAGTACTTTCTCTGGATAAAGTGGTTTTGAGGATGAGAGACAGATCAACAGGTTAAATTGAGATTATCATCCCTGTCTCTATAGGCAGATCTGGGCACTAGTTATTTTAATATTACGCCCCTATTCTTGTTTATGACAGCTTTGCAAAGTTGTGTCATGAAAATCTACCAGTACAGGTATGAAATGTATTTCTCTACTCTTACCTGGATTTTCATAATGAAAATACCTAGTTGTTTTTACTTCCCTATCAAAAGAGAGTTACTAGCCGTGGGTGAGTTTGCAAGTAGAACTTTACTAGCATGTTTGTGGGGAGTTTGTACCCAAGAGATGGATTCAAAACAGCAGATGTGTATCTGCTAGAGGACAACAATATCTGTTCCAGTATGCTATTAAAGAAATAATCTTAAGTAATAGTGGCTTATTTGCAGCAATGCTCAATTTGGGAAAAGTGTGGTATTGCCATAATGGTACAGGGAAGAGACTGCAGTCTTCTGCCTCTCTCCATGAAAGTGTTTTTCAGAGGAAGAGGGCAGAGACAGATCAAGGAAGAGAGTGTTTGAGGAAGGGAAGAGGGAGATCATTTCAGCATAGGGTGAAAAGATCACCTAAGGAGGAAAAAGTAGAGTATCTTTTTTAGGTTCTAGAAAGAAGGCTTAAAATTCCTTTAAAAAAAATTTTACATTAAAAAAATCAGGCTTGATCTATCCAAAAGCCACTCTGGTGACAGAAGAACTAATAAAATGACCACCAGGATCAAGAAAGTAAAAGTTGAAAGGGATGTTCTTGAGTCAAATTGTACAAAATGTTGTTTTGTTAAAACTTCCAGTGATTATTTTAAGGAAAAAAAGTCTTTGTTAAAAGTTTCCATACACCTAACCCTAAGTTGTTGGAGCTCAGATCAGATTTTACCTTCCTGACTTCTGGAAACTCTGCACCCCACCCCCCACCAAAATAACCTTTTAAAGTCCACTTTAAATATTTCAGATGGCCAGATAAGCATCCAGACATTTAAGTGCTTACTGGAACCAAACTTTTGAACTAATCCATCCCTGAGTGCTACTTATTTATGTTAATTGTGTGGAACAGTTGTTCCTCCCATACCTGCCGTTTCTCTCCCTCATTTTTTTCGAGCTCAGCATGCTGTTGAAGGCGATGAAGGCACTCTGTTCTCTCTGCAGACAGCCTCTCAGCCATTAACTTATCTAAAACACGGAGCTGTGGTAGAACACAAAGCTCAGTTCAAATGACCACGTTAGGAAAAAATCAATGTACGTCTGATAAATTATCATGAATCTTTTGACTCTCACCCTTTATTTCTAGGAACAGTGTCAACTAGTATTAGAACTTGCTTACGGGGGGAGGGGGGAAGGGGCATTCCCAAAGCTATATAATTAAAAGTAATTAGGACTTGTTTTCACTGAAATTTAATGCATGATAATTTAAACATTCCCTTCATTGAATCCCAACAGCTGCAGCATTGTCTTTAGTCTATCAGACCCCAAAAGTGAAGCTAAACAGTTCAGATGCACTATGCAAAGTGAGCACAGAAGTCACCTGTACAGTTTATTTTAACTACTATTCTTCTCAGGACTCTGGCTTGTAACAATAGATCTCCCTGTGGAACATCACAGTTTAAAGGTCAAAGGTATGAATTATATTTTTATATATATATACACAGACACACACACACACACACACACAGAGAGTATATACACACACACTATGAAAATGAAAATATTTATTGAGACTTATCCATGTTTCTAACATTAATAGCATATCTCTGGACCATTTTCTTACTTGATGTTGAGTTTTGTTTTCCATCTGGCCCAGCTTGATATTCATCTTATCCTGCACTGTCCCAAACTCAGCTTTTATCTCCTCCACAGTTGCCTCCAGCTGATTCTCCAGTTTATTAATCAGTGGCTCACAACGACATCCATTTATTGGGGCCTGAGAGCATAAGGAATAGCAATTATTTATCCCTATCCTATTAACACTCAGAAACAGTCAGTACATTTTCACTACTTCTTCTCTATTTGAACTTCCTGCCCCCCTAGCTAATCTGCTTTGGTACTGCTGTCCTGCATGAAGAAGGAAATAGGTATATGAAGTATATTTTGTTTGGGAGTGGTTTAGGCTGTGGTTCTGCAATCTGATCTGCATGGAGCACTGTTGACTTCACTGAGACTCCAGATGGGCAACAAGGATCCATCTTGCAAATCCAATTGCAGGATTAGGGCCTGAGACCTGACGTTATGATTCTTAACCATGCGGTAAAATTGGGGAGAGGATTTGTTGGTTTTTGGTGTTGTTTTGCTTTTGATGCTATAAAACTGATTTGTTTTGGCTTCTGACTTTTCTTTAACCTGAACATTTTACTCAGTTTCCTTCAATTGCAATTTAAAATCCCATATACATCATTGCATAGCCCCCTTTACTGCACTAGCATTCCTCTCATCCTCACCTGTCTGCTGGCAGCTTCTCACACACTCATCTCCTTGCCTTCTTCCTTGCAGCCTCCCTGAGCTCATCGGCAAGAACCCTGCTACGTCCAAATTTAAGTTTCTCAAAGCCTCACTTGTACCAGGCTGCCTATAAGTAAATGTAACTGACATGTATGCAGATCCTTACTTGTTCCTTTCCCCCTTAACCTTTGCCTACCTCTGTCCTTAGACTGAGAGATTCCTGGGGCAGCAGGAACCATCCCTTATTGAACGTATGGAAATCGCCCAGCTCTTCCTGGGCACTACCACAAGAATAATGAAATAAATAAAACAACAACAACTCTGCCTCAGGTTTCTTTCTTGAATCCGACATCTAACATTAGAATAGTCCTCACTGTGCTCGTCTCTGGAATTTTCCAATCCTTCCTCCAAAGTTTCTACTTCTCGAGGCCTCCAGCCATCACAGCAACAGAGTATCTGATGTCTGCAATAGATGCTCTTCAGTTTCTGTTAAATTCCATTCCTACCTTCTGATATATATGATTCCCCAAGCACAGCAAGGGAGAATAAAGGTTTATGTTCAGATTCAGAGGTGGGAAGCACTGCTTTCCTGAACGTGTCTTGGTACAGTATGCATAAAAGCAGCAGTAGTTAGCTGGAATAGACCCATCAGATCAAAGTCGCTTACATCTCAATAGGGGAATCACTTGATAATTTATTGTATGCTTTTGTGCTGTTCTAAAAATGGCTTTAGGTGAATATTTGCACATTCACATTTAGGGGAACTATACTAAGTCCAACAAATGGGTGGACTATCCATTGCACATTCACGAGGTTAGCAAATTACAGTGTCTGAAGTGCAGTGAGTTTATGTGATTTGGTGTTCCCTGTTCACTAACCAATCTGCTCTATTTCATATGGGTTGGGGCATAACCACCCCCTTCATTTACGATAGTTGTTAAGAAGCTATTAAAGCATCTTTATGGAACCAAGTAGCTGAAATAATAGGAGCTTCTACTCAACACAAAAGGACATAGGAGGCTGTTCAGGAATTAGAACTAGATGGGTGCAGGGGCTTTCCTGCATATTGTTTTAGTAGAGGGATATGCCTGAGAAAAAGTCGGAGAAACACCACAGAAGGAGACACAGAAGTAAGCAGCAAGCCTGTAATTCTTCCTGTGTTCACAGAGAAAGGTCTTTGTTCATTATTTGTAAGTAAGCAGAACTGTATCAAAGAAATGACTCATCAATTTCTCCTTCAGGAAACAGCCTGCAAGACCCTGAATTTTGGCTAACCTTACATATGTTAAACCCCTGCCTCTAGTAATTCTTGAAATCCAATAGACCCAATTTAGTAAAGAGAAGAAACTGAAACATAAAGGTATTGCACATATTCAGGCTTTCTGTTTGGACTGTAAACTCTTCAGGGCAGAGATTGTGCATTTCTTTTCATTTATAAAGCTTCTAGCTTTTCCTACTGGAAATAGGTAATAATATTCCAAAGTGAAAACTAGCAAGGTTCTTGTGTCATTTTCAATCATTGTTTGCACCTTGTCTACAAATAGGAAATGCTTCATTTATCAAAACATACACCACTTGGTATGCATAAAACCAACTTATTGTGTGCCAGACTTCATTCTAAAATATTGGTAAATCTCATACAACAAACTGAAGAATTAATAACATAATACCCTTGAAAACATAGTCAAAGGCCATCTCTGTTTCATTTCTTAACTGTGCTCAAATCCCACTAGGCACTTGTACTTCCCTGATTTTTGATGGTGATAGCTTGTTTACCTGCATTACTTTACCGTCCTTTCCACGATACAGCGTGTAAAGCTGGTAGGCTCTGAACTCATGTGGGGGTGGTGGAGATGAGCAACGATGTTTACTTCTACGATGCTTAGGTAAGCTCTGCTGGGGACCAGGGAGTGTCTGCTGGTCAGCTGGTGAAGCAGGGTCTGAGAGTGCTGAAATCTGAAACACACACAACATTCCCCAATTTACCAAAAAAAACCCTATAAATGACTGCTGCTTGGAATCTGAAACAATCAGCTGACTCCTGTCTCAGACCAGGGGGCATTGGGAAGGCCGGGGAGATGGTGTACTTACCCCTTAGCTAGGAGATGGGAACTCTGTATTATTTAACAGTAGTCCCTCTCTCTCTGTTACTTTAAATTTATTGGTACCTTTTCTCTTGGCTTTTTCTTTTTGTTGTTCTTTCCTTTGGGCTCTGGTGAAGTTGACCGTGGTTCATCTTTCAGATCTCCTTTCCTCTGAGGCACCTGATCACTGCTGTGAGTATCCTCAGCAGCTGAGACACTGCCCTATTTAAAACAGAAACAGGGAGTTGTGAGGGCTTGTCTTTGCTACATCCCTAATTTTACATTGTTTTGCACAGTAGTCACAGAATCACCACCAGAGGGTCTTCAACAGCAATGCAAGATGCACTGCGCTGGCCATGGTTGACAGTATACCTTGCTCTGAGCATCCCTAAAAAGTATAAAGCTGGGAACTCATATAGGATTGGTTGCAGTCAGGGACCTGTGTGTTTCTCCAGGTGCCTGCTGCACAGCTACACAAAAGGTGAATTCAGTACTGGAGGATTTTATTGTAATCACTAGGTCAGACTTCCCTGCCTTTTAACACATTAAGCTAGTATTGCTTGGCTGTACCTTGCTCTGCACCACCTCATCTCTTGGCACAGACTGAGCTCGTCTTTCCTCCTTGAGCTTTTCTCTCTTCTTTCTAAGGCTTCTTCCACGGTTAAAGCGCAAGACCTGAAGCAAGGTAGCATTTCCAATCAATAACATCATCACTTTTTCCACTGATGTCCTATTACAGAACTGGGTAATGAGACAAGCTTATTTATTTGCTATTCCACAGAGCCTTTTTAGGGGGACACGTTCTTCTAGTTTGCCCTGCGCATCAGTACCCAAATGGGCATTTAAGGTGGTAGAACCCTAGCAACATTGTCTGGAACCCAACTGCAGCTCTGTGTGCACTCCAGGAGCTATCCCAGAACATTCCTGCCAAAGGGTGCTCTGAGGTTTGTTACTAATAAAGACATTTATAATGTACCTGTGGTGCCTTAGCAAGGAGAAGCGCAACATCAGGATTATTATGCTGTCTAGCAACCTCTAGAGGAGTCTGACCTGCCTGAAAAGACAAAAAAAATAACATTATTTCCTTCAACTAGCATAAAAAATAAATAAATTGCTGAAATATCTACCCTAAAGTCAAAGAGTTGTGTGTGTGTGTGTTTGTATAAAATAATCAAGCATTTTAGTTTACTTACTAGGTACTGTCTAAATATTATCAGCCAACATTTGAAAAATCTGCAGAAAATATCTTTGAAACATTAAGATAAAGAATCAAAGTAATTCTACCTGTACTTACATTGTTGACAATTGACCCATCAGCCCCTGCTTCCAGTAAGAGTTTGACCACCTTTTTATGATTTAATGCAGCAGCTACATGAAGTGCAGTATCGCCAGCCTGAAATATACAAAGTAGAATACAACATGCTAGCGGACATCTTTGATTTGTATGTACTGCATTTCCAGTTTCCTTGTGCCCCTTTATGGTTCATAGGTCCAAATGTAATTACATGACAACTGAACTTTAATAAGGGCTGATCAACAGAGAGGCAGACTAAGATTTGGGCTAAATCACATCATTTTGAGGAAGGCAGTGAGGGTTGGCATTAGCCACATTCCTATTAAATTAACCGATCCATGAGAATGTGCTCACAGAGGAAAATTATGCTGGAGACCCAAAAGCGCTTGGCCCAAATATGTCCTCAAATGCAGGGGTGCAACATTGCTGAGGGCAGAATGTTATGGTGTATCCTCCTCTGTGACAGTTTTATAGGTTTGATTATCTGGACTTTAATGACCTGGTGGTTATGAACATGCGAGCCACTTCTTGAGATTGACAAGCTGGAAAATGAGCTTGGATAAACTGCAACAAGACAATTTGGTTTTTACTTGATATGTTGATGTTTCTTAAAACAACTCTTGGAACATAGCTACCTAAGTGGCTACACAGTATATACATTGTCAGAGCACTACAGCATTCACTTCACCTCTGGACATGTACTGCAAGTACAAATGAAAAACAACTTGAGTACCAATGAACACATGCAACCACAGATAACACATACTTGCCAGCAACAATTTAGGAGAATCTGGGACTGAAGACAAACATGTTACAGGTCAGCTTTAGGGCTGTCTGAGTAATATTGTGGAGTACAGGCAGAATGGTTTCTGCTTGCACCATGCTAATCCTAGTCAATATTATCACTCAGTAGCTCACAAGCAACTAAATTCATCCCCCAAAACAAAATTGCATATTAATGTATGAAATTGCATTGCCACTTTACTGTGGCTGAAACTCATTCAATTTTCTGTAATATTTTCCATTTGAAAAACAACATTGTACATACAAATCAGAAAACATAAGTATGATCCTGCACCAGGCCATATATGGAAAGTGTCTCAGTACCATTAGATGGTTTGGTAAAGTACCATATAATTTACTTTCCTTAGCAGATTTATTAAAAAAAATGTTAATGCGCTAAACCATTCTATTGTACCACCCAGCTAAGCTGTTCAGTAGGAGCATCATTCAATTGTTTCCCCTATAAAATAAACCTGGATGGTTAGTCCTCATGTAGCTTAATCATTCCTTTGTACTTAACACAAGTTTTCCTTGAATTTTCCACATTTTTGCTTCCCACTAAAGCAATAAGGACCGGACAAATAGAGAATATACCATAAAATGTTAATAAAAAATGTCATTTATGGAGCATCCTAAATCACCTTACAAACATTAATCAGTTCTGCCTCACTACGCCTCTGTAAGGCAGGTAATATGATCCCTATTATACCGAGGAGTAAACAGGGACACAAAGAGGTGAAGTGTCTTGCCCTGTGTCATCGCTTCTAGTGACTCCTGCTCTAACCACTAGTTCACGTCTCTTCCCCATTTAAAAAAACCAAAACAAATATATTTCTATACAGCATAATAAATAGAAAATGTTATAAATGACAAATGTAAATGCAGCAACATGTTCTGAAATGATAACAAACCATGGGCACACCATTTCTTTAAGGCTATTCTTAGAAGCCCAGGCATCTTTAGATTACAGTGAAATGCACATTAAAAGGGAGTATTTACAGTGGGCCCCATATGTGATCAATGGTCCCTCATTTCAATTGTTAGCCTTATAAAAAGGGTGCCTGGCTGCAATGAATAGTTCATGCACTGACCTGGTTCTTTTCATGGACAGAACAGAAAGCACTGAGGAGTACCCTAATGATGGGCAAGTGATTATAACGAGCAGCAACGTGCAAACAGGTATCTCCTGCCTGGAAACAGAAACAAAGCTCTAAGCATGTAGTCGCAATAGAAAAGCTAATGCTTGTCAGGGTGCTTGGGGATGAAATAAGCTATTTAACACTGAACTGGAGATGTGGTGAATGACATAGAAGCATCTTAATTGTTTTTTTGGGGTCAAATGGCTTAGCTACTTTATACTAATTTTACCTCTGAATCTGTATGGAAAGCCAGTGAAACCAAATAACTGTTTCTGTTGTTGTACAATGGGGAAGTGCAGAGGATGTATCTCAAGGAAGCTATGGAAATTCTATAATGGATGCAAAATGCAAGGCCTCAAGCATTTAGAGTACTGTGCTCTTTTGCAGGCTTTGCTATGTTTAAACTCATGTATATCTAGCTCCAATTTTTTTGTTTTGTTCCTGTTTTATGCCAGATCCCCAATAAAGAGAGGAAAGCAGTTTGAAAATTCAAAACTATATGAAGTTCTTTGGTTTGATAGACCCCACACAGTACATAGCCTGGAGGAGTGTCTCTGAAGAATTTCCTTGGACTCTTACGGAACCCTCTATGATTTCCACTTTTCAAACACAGGGGAGGACTCCACCTGCAGACTTCTATTACAGTATTCGGGTGGGGCCATCCTATGTCTTCAAAATGAGCAACCAAGAATAGCTTGCAGTCAGGTGCATGTAACAGCAGAAAACAATGTATACACCTTTCATTTTTCTATCCCCCTCCCCCTTCAAAACGGTTGTAAGTAACACCTTTATAAGTCTTATCACAAAACATTTTTAAAACCCACTGTTTAGTCATTTTGTTATTTTTCTCCCAGTCCTCATAACAAACAGAAAGGCAGAGTTTGATATTTTGAAAGCTGTATTTCCAGAGACTGAAACAGAATAAACATTTTTAAAAATTTATTTTTTAAGCTTACATTATTTTTGAGATCTGCCCGAGACCCTCCAAGTAACAAAACACGAGTACTTTGTGAATGGCTATTTTGGCAGGCCAAGTGCAGCGGTGTGTTACCTGCCTTAGGAAAGAGACAGAAAAATACAAAAGCCATCTTTAGAAAATTGACATAAGTCAAAAAACAAAGCAAGCAAACACTACCACCCCATCTCAATAAACAATGTGTGTCTCATTGCAAGATTTTAAACTTACAAAACTGTAAATGACTTCTGATCAGTCGCCTATGAAAAGTGAATTTGTAGCCTTGTTCCAGGCCACATCACAAAACCTACCCAAAAATATTGTTGGTGTTCTCAACGAAAAACTAGCTATGGCCTGAATGGGCATGGAAACAGAGCTACCTGCTCTGCCACAGAGATGTTTCCTCCAGGACACAGCAGAGGCAGGTATTGGGAGTTTGGGGAAGTTTGCATTGTCACTGCCAGTGTTCAGAGAGCAAATGGGAGACTTCCATTTCCAAAATTATCAATCCAGCAACTATTGCGGAGCATCAAATTCAATTAATATTTTTAAAGCACCTAATTTAAATAAATAAAACTCCCCATGACTTGATAATCCTCAGTACATAGCCCCTCTTTCATATCTGATAATTACATTGCCTAGATGACACTTTATTTTCCTAGAATTTTTCCCAAACCAATGCACTTAATTTGTTGCAATCACCTAAAATTTAACATTTTGAATTTAAAACATATAACTATGAAACAAAAGATCTCTTGAAAGAAAAATTCCCTTCTCAGACTCAAAGCAGATTCCCTTCCTATCAGATTCCCAGTCCTAACCAGGGAAAGCAGGTGCATCTTACAGCACCATGTCCTGGAGGTCTCCACATTCGTGCTCTGACAAAACAAGGTGGAAGTGAATTCTAGACCTCAGGATCTCTCATGGAATGTCCTGCTCTCCTGTTTACACCAGGAGGGGGCTGTCAACTCACATATGCATATATGTGCGTGTTTGTGGGCACGGTGTGAGTAAATTTGCACATGGTTCCATCTGTCTTATAAATGTAATTCCTGTTTCTTTGCACAAAGAAACATGCTGCTCCCTGGCTTTGTACTTTAATTCCTGAACGAAAGTATGTTTGAAGTCCTGTGGTCTGTTAGGTAATCAAGGGTCAAAGCTATTTCCAGTCTAATCAACATGTGAATATACAATGGGGGCAGAGTGGTGGTTTTAGGCTGTAGAGAGCTTGTATGTTTACAATGCATGGAAGTCTTCAGGCAGAAATAGGAAAAGAACTTGGTGAGTTACTAAGGATCCAGAGAAAAGCAAAGATGAGTTTTGTTACAGATGGAAGTTCCCATGTGGACAAGTTTGTGCATTTATTCTTCTGAAGGGCTGAGGGGCCTGAGAGTTTAGGGCTTGTCTACACCAGTGAGGCAGGGTTATTTCATACTAACCACAATTTTTTTTTCAATAAAATGGGCTGTGTCCACATGACACAATTCTTTTTCCAAATTAACTGGCTAGTTACTGCAAATTGGACAATCTACTTTGAAAGTGGCTTAAGTTCATTTTGGAGTAAATTAGTGCAGAAGAAGGTTTGTGTGGACACATCTGCATTCTAGATTAATTTTTCAGTCCCTCCAATGGTATCCCTGACTGCATTGCTTCAGTCCGTGCTGGCTGACAGCAGTTTGAAAATGGGCTGACTTGCAAAAGACATATGAACCCTGGGATACGAGGAAAGGAATCCTGGAAATTTGCTGCTGTGAACCCCAAGTCACAGAATTCTAGTGGCTTCAGGTAGGTATCCTATAATGCACCATCAGAAAAATCCCAGAATACAGAGTCCAGCAGCGGGACAAAGCACCATGGGATACCTGCCTGATATGCCGAGAGCTTATTTCAAAAGAAGTCAGTGCTGCGTGTGCACACTGATTAAGAGGGACGTGTGTAGTAAAAGCTAACCACATGGATGCAATTATTTCAGAATAGTTTTTCTACAGCTGTTAATATGCACAAACGTAATCCAAAAGCACACACCCTCGCACGCATGTAGACAAGTCCTTAGAATATTTGTTTTGTTGATCTTTGTCGTTGAGCCTGCAATAGGTTTGCTTGGATCTGAAAATGTGATCATCTCAAGTAAAAGGATTTTAGGCATTATCAGGCTCCCTGCTTCTTGTTCATTCTCCCAATTATCCCCCTTTTCACGTCTCACCTACTGCTCAAACACCAGTCACCGCTTGCACATTTTGAATTGGAAGAACTGTGACAGACCCAGACCAGTGGGGTACAGGAGTCTGGTAGAGGGCAAATATTAGGGTTACCATATTTCAGCAAGCAAAAAAGAGGACGGGAGGAGCCCCGCCCTAGCCCCATCCTGCCCTAGCCCCGCCCCTGCCCCTCCCACTTTCCGCCCCCCTC